TTAAAGCACCGGCGCTAATTCAGAGCAGCGACGCGCTAGTTCAGAGCAGCGAAGCGGTACCTCAAATCAGCGAAACGATACGTCTAACGGCACCACTTGCCTTGACAAACATAAAGCCTTGTACAGTACATTTTTATAAAAAGAAGGAATACTACAAAAACCAAAGGACGGTGGCGTGGGAGGCAGCAAGCAATATTAGAGTGACACGCTTATTGCAGAATAAGTAAAAATGAAATTACATTAGAGTGTTAGTTTTCACAATTTTTATGCGTTTGCTTTAACCTTTGTTCTATGCACAGGTGAATTGTTTGAGTAATTTTAAAAGCAAAATATAGAAAGTTTAATTATCAGCGGTCCTTTTAAATTATTTTAAATTTAACATAATTGTTAATTATTGGTATCATTCGAGCTTGTTATGTAAATTATTTTAAGTAAGAGCGTAATTGGAACTGAATTTTACAAATTGGACCGTCAGAATTTTTGTTAGACCGTGACTAATTAGAAGACTTTGTGAGTTGCAGTGATTTCAAGTGTCAGACAAAGGATGCCTTTAGAGGTAAATTTAAATGTTTAGTGTTAAATTAAGGAAGGTGAAACTAATGTCATTAAACATTATTTCGCCAAGTTAGTTGACTGTGAGTTGAGAATTATTTTATTCAAAGAGTATTTTCTTAAAGTGAAAGATAGTAGAAAAAAGGAGTTAAGACGTTATGATGGGCGCGTAGAAATTTTAATCGTTTTATGAGAGGTGAGGTGAAACGGTACTGGTTTGGTAATTGCCAACAAAGTTTCGAAACATAGTAGGTTGATTATCATGGTCAGGTTAAGGTGGTGCAGTCAGTGTAGCAGCGGAAAGAGATCAGTGAAGATGCAATAGCTTGCGGCTGGAGGACCGTGGATAAAAGCTCGTAGGTTGGTGCGGTAAGGCACGGAGAGGAATGGGTTGCGGCTGGAGGGCCGGGGAAATAATCTCGTGTGAGCACATCGAGGTGCGGAAGGCGTTAGCGGTAGTGTACATAGAGGACGTGAGCGGGCGTCCGGTGTAACTGGTAGGCTCGGTGAGATGTTGCGGACTATGGTAAAAGTGGACAACGAGAGTGTGAGCGTGCATTCTGTTGCTACTAGCGAGCCATAATTGAAGTTTTATGTCTGGTGGTAGGCATAGAGGAGGCACTAAAGTTAGAAGCTAATTCTCTTGAGCTACAGTAGGACTGCAGTTGACAAGATGCAGAGGAGTGATAAATTTTTATGACCTTTTGAGACCTAGTACGAGTGAAGAGTATAAACAGATTGGTAATTCCCTACAAGGATGAAGCCAATGTCGATTGAAGATAAAGAAGTTTTTGGATGACTGATTACAAAAATATATATAAGGTTTTGTTGAAAGCTAGATGAAGGATCAGAAACGCCATTAAGCAAATGATGAGGAAGAATGAGAAGGGCTGAAATAGAGAAAATCACAAAATATTTAAAACTAAAATAAGAGTAGTGTTTTTTATTCGGGGCCAAATGAAACTCAGGAAGGCCGAATGTGGGATTAGTTTACGGACAGTACTTACGATGCTAGGACAAATTGGCCATTCAGAGTTAGTAACATAGAAATGCAGCCCTACATAACGAATAGAGGAATCTAGCTTATCGAAAAGGCTATAGAGAAGAGAACGATACGAACAGAACAGACTGGACATTGCATTGTCAGCCGCCATCAAGCGCAGAAAAATGTTCTGCTAGTGCTAAGTTGTTTAATTGTAATATGTGCGTTTTGTTAAATAAACAGTATGTAATATTAAATTATTAAACTAAATAACCGCGTTTTGTTAAAGAAGATGAAGAAACGGGAAGGCCATTCCTACATGTATGTACTTATGGACAGCGATGTTTTCATGTATGTACATATGTTTGAATGGTTAAATATATATTTGTATGTACGTACATATGTTTGTGTATATGTATATATGCACATATGTAGTACAAACGAAAACAAATCTAATAAGCTGCTCGTTGATATAAATGGGAACTCTACTGATTGTTTGTTGTACATTTGTTCATGTTTGTCATTGTGCGTGTAATTTTCTAGAGTAGTTTTGTGCTCTCGCTATCTCCTTGTATTAACTCGTCCTTCGTTGGTATACTCTGATGAACATATGTGAGGATGATAGCAAGGCCAACTTATATAAGGTAGTGTTACAGGAGCAGTTGAAATTTTCGCCCGATGTTTCTTAAAGAAAGAGATAAACGTAGCGACCGTTGATTCAACTTGGTGTTGTTTTGGTCAAGATTGCACCGTTTGTGGGCCTGTTGAAGGAATTTATGTCTTGGTTGTATGAAAGATCAAAAAATTTAGATTTTCTGGCAAGTTGTACAACTTATCGCTACATTAATGGCCATGTTGTACAAACTCATTTAATTTGCGTTTATTTTGTACACTAAATAACCGAAAATGGATAACTCAGCCGAAGTAGGTACGTGCTTTCGTTGAATTTTATAAATGTAAACCGAAACTATGAAATTGTAAAAATGAGATTTTACAATGAGAATGTTCGCTAAATTGCAATGTCCAAATTGATTGCGGATTGATTTGGACCAACGTTTTTGGCTTACATTATGTCAAAAGGATGTGTTTGTTGTAATTCATTCTGTCATTTACTAGCATTATGCGTAGGCCAATTCATGAAATCATTTCATGCATTTGAGTAGAAACAGTAGTTTTTACCAAGGAATGAAACCGATTCAAAATAACGTTCCGGTTTGGGTTTCGGTTTTGCCAAGTGTTTCGGTTTCGGTTTTGGTTTCGTTCTTCAAAATTTATTTCGGTTTTGGTTTCGGTTTCGTTCCGGTTTCGGTTTTACACAGAAATTTTGTTGATATTATTTAAATCACAATGTCTTAAACGTTGAGGTAAGAAAATCGAAAATTAAAGTTCACTGATAATATCAACACTAGGTTCTTTCCCTAACAATCCGGACCGGATTTGGTAATTAGAGAATAAGAGAAACATTTTCTTTCAAAAATGGAACAAAATTTAGAAGTACGGAAACGCAAAAACACACATTTCGTGCCCACAAGTCGAGAAACAGCTGATTCACGATGTTCTTGTTTTTGTCACTTATACCATGTTCTGACCGACATCGGAAACATGTTTTCGTTGCTAAAACTGGTTTTCGACCTAAAACTTGTGTTTTCGTCCATATAAAATCTGTTAAACGAAAACCAGTTTTCGCTGAAAACTACTTGAAAACTCACTTTCCACTCGTTCTAATCGGTGTCTTAAGTAGTTTTTTTCGATTATTTATCGAAGTGGAAGTCATATTTTATTGTTAATTGCCTGGCCAAAGTAAAATAAGAATGAAAGTTAAAGGTTGTAAATGAAAAAAAAATGAAGGAAAATGTTTTGGTTGTCGGTCAGAACATGGTATTAAATGCTAACACTTGGAAATTGAATTTTGGTTTCACAAATTTGATTTTAAGTACATAGATTGAAAATACATCAACAGGCCATTCACTTTTCCTTAAGAGCACCAAGTAAATGCAGGCAACATGTAAACACAATACAGCTGATATGCACTTTGACACTTTATCCATTTTTACTCGGAGAAAATTTCGGGCTGTTTCGGGCAGGAAGAAGAATACACTTACGATCGAATACGCTCGAATTTTCGCTCTCTATTACCCATTTTGTTGAGTACAGGAATGATTTCTGGGCTATTTTGGGCACTCGCGGGATCTCGCATTGCGTACGGGAAAGAAACTACTTAAATATAATTAATCGATTATCGATTCACAACAACAAAGTCATCAGTAGATTTTTGCGAAAAGTTACCTTGCCATACTTATTTACTACTTAACAAGAATTTTAGCAAAATGTTGCTGATTTTGGTTAAATAAATCATTTATTTCAAAGAAATTTGTATTTATTATTTTTGTAAATTTCTGGAAACCGATTGAAACCTGTGATTGAAATGGTTTCGGTATCGTTCCTTTTCAGGTCAAGATAACGGGTACGGTTTCGGTTTCGGTTTTGAAAAACGAAACGGTTTTAAACGGTTACGGTTTCGGTTTGGGTTTCGGTTTCATTCCTTGGTTTTTACTCAGACCGATGAAAAGATTTCGTGAATTGGGCTACGCATACATGTGTTACTTATGCTTTTAATTTATAAGGTAATTTTATGTTTTTATACTCTTGCTACCACATGAATATATGAATTCGTGATAAGAATATATGAATTCGCCTTGGAACATAGAAAGCGAGTAAGAAAAGTGCCGAACAAAGGAATTTGTCTTCTTTCAACTTAAATAAATGCATTTTGCAAACAAAAGTGCGTACGTTACTTAGTGCCTTGGTAATGGCGAATTCGTAAGGATCTATTGGTTACATTATAAACATTTTCATTTATTTGTTAAACATACAATTACTTCCATTACAACCCGGTCCTGTGGATGCTAGAAGCGCGAATTCATATAAGGTGGTGTTACAGGAAAATGAATAAATAAATTATATGTATATCTGAAAATGAATAAGATGAAATGAAATTATTGTTTGATTTCTGACCAAACCTATGTATGTTACTCAATCGCCTAATGGTTTGCCGAACCGTAAACATATGTTTACACATCCAATTTCGTTAGTAGGTACCTGGTACTCACGCCTTTTTTAAGAAGTTTCACTTCTATAAAGTGTACGGTGTTACACACGCATTTTTATTTTTTTATAAATCAATAACATATTTTTAATATAATTTTTTTTTTATACGACATTTGCAAAATATTGCCTATTGGCACCAGGAATCATTTTTTGCTCTCCTGAAAAGTTATAAAAAAAAACACACAACTGTTTTTGTTGGCGCAGCAACGATATGTATCCACAAAGTACTTTCCTGTTTTTAGGATATGGCTTTCAATTTTGGTATGCCGGGTATCTGATAGAATACTAGCCGAACATATAAAAAGTGCATTTTACACTGATGTTGACGATATGAGGCTTTTGCGTTTTTGGGAGGTACTCACCAGCCTTTAAGTATTGAAAAAAAACTTACCTTAAACAGAATTTTATAGTAGCCAATATCTTCAAAAGATAATTTAAGCGAGCTGGAAATAATTTCTTCTATGTTATCCGGCCCTTGGACAGAAGAGGATAACAATCCAGTAACGACTGAGGAAGTATAATAGTTATAAACCAAAACGGAAAAAACGAATACTGAAAAAAGTAGTATTCTTATTGGTTGCCATCTTGAAATTGGATTCATACCCTGCTGAGAAAACGCGGCAATCAAAATTAATAGCATATTCATTAAGCTGGTGTGATCCCTTGGCTATGTTTTTTTTTGAATTTGGTACTTAAATAATTTTATTTTACGCCGAGTATATAATGAATCCAAATCAAACTGTTGCCAAAATTGTTTGTGTAGTAAATGTTTTCTTTTTTTCTGTCGTATTTTTATGCTATCTAAAAGCCAAAATATTAAGGTTATTGTTATGATAGACCATGCCAAAACAATCCAAACATGTCTTTGAAATGGTAACAGAAAGCTTTGAGCGTCGACGTGGATACTTAAGGTCGGTACAAAGCGATATAAAAATGCAGTTTCAAATTTCCAGCCTTGGTGTATAATGTCAAACTCCGCGAAGCGATTAATTCGATTAAATACTCCTGTTGCCCCTATGTCAGCTTCATTCCGAGCCATAATGCCTAGAAATCCAAGCCTAAACGTTGTATTATTCAAATGTCCTGCCCAGCCCCTTGCAACACGAAATTCGATGGTGAAGTTGATGTACTCTTTTAAAATTTGAACGAGCTCGAAATAATATTTTGTAAAAGCGGAAATACCTATATGCTTTGCAGGTTCGGATAGTAGTACACTTACTTCAGCGGTGCTTGTTACATTATCTATGTCAATCTGTGCGGAATAAATAAGAAAACAAAACTATTACAAACAATATTTAATTCGGTTTATTACTATTTATTTATTTGTTTATTCAGTCTACAAGTTATACCTATAGACTATTTCTAATTAAAAACAGTAAATAAATTTAATTTAAATTTAGATAAAGTGACAGTAAAATCTATTTGGTGCGCATAATTGTTACTTTTTTGTAACTCATTTATTTTATTGCGCTTTGTTTTTTTAACAATAAGCAATACTTGAATCTGAAACACTAAATAAAAAAATAATCATAATACTAGAGACTTAAATACTAAATAAGAAAATAATCATGTATGGAGTACACCCAGTTTCGCAACCATATGCTATTCCCAGCTATTCAATGTTATTAGTAGGGCCACCAAAAATATGCTCGAGCATGTCTTTTTATACTTTATCACAAAATACATAAAAAGGAAATGGTAATTGTAAAGATATAAGCGTTTTAGCCATATTTGTTAGAGCATATTTCGGCATGTTTCGTAATGAATGCATTTTTTTAATTTTTTAGAAATAAATGCTAAATTTAGTGCATATTCAAAAAAAAATCACTTTTTTTAATTGTAGGGCCTATGTTAATTAATAGAAACGTACTCTGGATGGTAAATTTTTGACCACTGTGAGGCTTGTGTGGTGTATTTCGCTATTAGCAAAAATAAGCAAGTGGAAATCAGAGTTGCATCCAGATAAAATTGCCACTTTTTCCTCCACTTTTAAGAAATTTCTGAGGACAACATTGCGAGCACTTATGCGGGGTTATAAAGAATGTTGAATTAAAAATTTTTATTAAGAGAGCTGAAGAAAAATTAAACGCTGTACAAGTTTTAACTGGTAGCAATTAGCTAAAATCAGTTTTTAGCAAAAAACACGGCTTTGATGTATTAAAAAGTATTGTAGGCCAGATTGAATCCGATAATTCAATTCATCCGAGTGAAAAATATATAGTGACTGAAATTTCTGCGTTTAAGTTCGTGCCTTCCCCATGTTTCAGAATATCTTCCGCGATAACAGGCAATCATTTCTTTTTTAAAATGTATCCGAATATTTTGTTATTTATTGCAACAAAAATATTTAAGTTAAATTTGCATTTTTATTTCTATACATATGTAAGTAAATACGCTCTGAATGTGTAATATTTTACTTTTACCAGTGTTTTTGTACATTTCTGAATAAAATCCAATAGATTTTTACATAAGAAAAATTGAGCTATTTATTGAAGTGAAACTTCTTAGGCGGCGGTATCGCAAAAATGGAGAGCGAAATTTTTAAAGCTGAAAACGTTACATGAGTGAGAAGGAAGATGTAGGTAGTATAGGGAAGGGGAAAAAAGAAATAAAGCGACGCATGACGGGTACGAGTACCTACATATGTATACGTTTGAATGCACGTATGTATGTATACATATATATGTATGTATGAACGAACTCATTGCGCATTTCAGCTCTGCCGCTACCAAGCAATATATGTATAAATGATGCAAGCGTGCTTCGCGTAACTACATTCATTCGCAAGAATGATAGAATACAAAATTGCGCCGATTGTAGCAGAATTCGTGAGAGTTAGGCTTTCTGCACATTGGTCGTCCAATCAAAGTTGCTTCTTCGTCACAATCATGATGCAACGATTACATGACGACTACACTTTCGCACACTCGGCCGTGATATTTTAACTCATTTGGCGTCTAAAAATTCACTTGGAGCAGTTATTTTCTGTGTTTCTGGTTGATATTTTCGCGAAATATTTGCAAAAACCTGCAATTTTTAAAATATAGACTGTGCTGCAACAATTCTAGACATAATTTTTCAGTAATATCTCTTCTTTTCTTTTCCTGAAATGTGTTTTGTGCGTGCACACAGAGACTTTTTAAAATTTCGTCATATTTTATAGTTAAAACGCTCACATTTATTGATTTTTAATGCAGTTATCCACTTTTTAATAATTTCCACAGATTTTATGCAAAAAATACGAATTTTTATGCAATTTTAATACAAATATTAACTTTGTCACTAATTTTTCCCCATAAAATGTAAACAAACAATGCGCGCACACCGATTAGCAAATGACAGTGCCGTACTTATCCGTTTCTGCATCTTCTACGATTTGCCGATAACGAAAAGTGTGCAGATCTCCTTTGAAATGCATATGCTCGTCGAGACCATAACGCAGCTATGATTGGACGAAAAGTGTGCAGATAGCCTAATTTTGGCCTGACGTCATCGTAGAGTTGACAACTGAGAGCGGCGAGAATAAGGGCGATTAGTGATGTGCTGAATTGTCGGTACCCAATACTCGGAACCCATCTAACCAGTTAGCGATAACTTTCGGATCGATATCGCACTTCTTGGCGTACAAATATTTCATATCATGCGTCAACAAAACCGATACCGATTCAAAAATTGACGCTAACTGGTTATAGAATCTGCCCCTAGGCCTATAAAAATGATATCGTCCGATTCAGCTGGAACAAAAACGCTTCAAACAAGTAAGAGTTTCTCTGCGTTATGGCCTCGAACTGACATATATACATCTTTCATTTGAATCAGTATTAAAAGCTCTATTGGCTCCTACATTGGGTTTTGATAGGCGAGTCTCCCCTGAGCCGTTTCTCCATATCTTTGGCCTGTGTGCGCTTTTATTCGAAATTTAAATGTTTCGGTACCGAGTATCGAGAGAATTGGAAACTTAAAAGTATTGACTCGGCACATCACTATTGCTATCATCTCGACTGTGACGTCAGCAAAACAGCTGATTCTGTCAAATTCACTGAGATCCGATTAGCGGTGTTGCGATCGGCGCCACCTTCTGTATTCTCTCCACCGTGATTCATTCGTACATGTGTACATATGTTTGTATGGATATATTTATGATGAAGCAAACGGGCTTCGTTGATGTTTTTTTTTTTTTTACGAGGAGGAAGCATCGAAAGCCTAACCCCGTCAGTGTGAGACTTTAACCCAAACTAAACCTCCTACCGTCATGTACCGTTCCCCTCCCGGTACCACCGTCAAGTATTTCGTCGGGAGGTGGGTTGAGCACGAAGCTTTACGTTCGTTGCAGTCCTGATGCAGTCCGTTGAAAGTTGCATCAACTTGGAGCCGTCCTTTGTCTTCGAAAAAGCAACCACCCTTGTCGGGTCCATGCGTCCCCGCCCGCCATGTTTCGTCCGTCTATTATGTAACGCCTCTGCTTATCTTCATGCCTCAGCAGCTAGTGCCTCGACCAAATATCGCGCCTGGTGGTAGATATTTCATGTGGGCGTAGTTATGTGTCGTCCATTTCGACGCTGCTCATCTCTTCTCAGATGGGTCAAAATGTGCGTGACTGCATTATTCACCGCTTCCCATTTTCCAACGGATTCTATCATGTGAACTACCATGTTTTTAGGTGTGGGGTGTTCTTCAAATACAGAGCGAATGTGGTTTCTATCCAGATCGAATCTCGGGCAGTGAAACAAAACATGTTCGACGTCTTCGATAACGCCATCACCACACGCTTCGCAATGGTCAAGCTCTTCGTGTTTGAAGCGTTTCAGGTACGATCTAAAGCAGCCGTGGCCGGTGAGCATCTGGGTTAAATGGAAGTTAACTTCGTCGTGCGGGCGGGAGATCCATTTTTCGATGTTTGGTATTAGTCGTTGTGTCCAGCGTCCGTTGGACGATTCGTCCCATTTCTTCTGCCACATCTCTAGCGTGTGTTTACGGGCTAGTGCTTTCCTAGCAGGAAGTGTTAGATTGCTAGGTGTATTCATTGACAGTTCTTTCGCCAGAAGCTGTATTGGGTTTCGTTGATGTACTGATGGGCATATGTATATACTTATGCACAGCAAGCTTTCATGTATGTACATATGTTTGAATGGTTAAATATATATTTGTATGTATGTACATATATTTGTGTATGTACATATGTTTGTGTACATGTATATATGCACATATGTAGTACAAACGAAAAAAATCAAATAAGCTGCTCGTTGATATAAATGCGAACTGTACTGATTGTCAAAAATTATGTGTTGGTTGTACATTTGTTCATGTTTGTCATTGTGCGTGTAATTTTCTAGAGTAGTTTTGTGCTCTCGCTATATCCTTGTATTAACTCGTCCTTCGTTGGTACACTCTGATGAACATATGTGAGGCTGATAGCAAGGCCAACTTATATAAGGTAGTGTTACAGGAGCAGTTGAAATTTTCGCCCGATGTTTCTTAAAGAAAGCCATAAACGTAGCGCCCGTTGGTTCAACTTGGTGTTGTTTTGCTCTAGATTGCACCGTTTGTGGGCCTGTTGAATGAATTTATGTCTTGGTTGATTGAAAGATCAAAAAATTTTGATTTTCTGACAAGTTGTACAACTTATCGCTACATTAATGGCCATGTTGCACAAACTCATTTAATTTGCGTTTATTTTGGACACTAAATAACCGAAAATGGATAACTCAGCCGAAATAGGTACGTGCTTTCGTTGAATTTTATAAGTGTAAGCCGAAACTATGAAATTGTAGAAATGAGATTGCCCGCAAAGTTGCAATGTTTGTGGGCAAAACGGCCAAATTGATTGCGGATTGATTTGAACCAACGCTTTCGGCTTGCATTATGTCAAGTTTATGCACTTAGTTTTTACTCAGATCGATGAAATGATTTCGTGAATTGGACTACGCATACACTTGATACTGATGCTTTTAATGTATAAGGTAATTTTATGTTTTTAAACTCTTGCTACCACATGAATATATGATTTCGTGATAAGAATATATGAATTCGTCTTGGTAGATAGAAAGCGAGTAAGAATAAATGCCGAACAAAGGAACTTGTCTTCTTTCAACTTAAATAAATGCATTTTGCAAAAAAAATGCGTACGTTACTTAGTGGCTTGGTAATGGCGAATTCGTAAGGATCTATTGGTTACATTATAAACATTTTCATTTATTTGTTAAACATACAATTACTTCCATTACAACCCGGTCCTATGGATGGTAGAAGCGC